TCGATTACAATGGTGCAAAGCTCACCGTCACTGGACTGTGGACATGTGGAAAAGTGTTCTTTGGAGTGATGAATCTCGCTTTACAATCTGGCAGTCTGATGGATGTGTCTGGGTTTGGCGAATGCCCAGCGAGCACTTTTTACGTGACTGTATTGTGCCGACTGTAAAGTTTGGTGGTGGCAGCATCGTGGTGTGGGGGTGCTTTTCATGGTTTGGCCTGGGTTCCTTAGTTCCTGTGGTTGGAAACACGAACTCTAAGATGTATGTGGACATTCTGGACAATGCTGCTCTCCCAACTCTACGGAAATATTTCGGGGAAGGTCCATTTCTCTTCTAGCAGGATAACTGCTCCATTTACACATCGACACTTGCACAGGCATGGTTCGATGAAATGGGTGTTCAAAAACTGGACTGGCCTTCTCAGAGCCCCGATCTAAATCCCATAGAACATCTTTGAGATTAATTAGGACGCAGATTACGTAGTCAGCCACATCGACCATTCTCACTGCCAGCATTCACTTCAGCCGTGATAGACGCCTGGAAGTCAATTCCAATGGCCACCTATCAAAAACTAGTGGAAAGTCTCCCCAGACTTGTACAGGCTGTCATTGATGCAAAAGGAGGACAAACATCATATTAATATATGCGTCAGGACTCTCCGAGTCCGTACTACTAGGTGTCTGGATACTTTTGGCCAGATAGTGTATTTGTATAAACCTCTCTACAATATTACACTATAATATATTGTCTAGGAAAATCGGAAATTTTTGAATAAAAATCTAGGGAACACTTCATTCAACTTTTTTTTGGCAATCCTATGATACGACAAACCATCAAACTTACTTATTTGTAGTTACTTTATTAGATTTACATATTTGACATTTCTAGGTACCTATATTTAAATTTTATTGATAATTTCCGTAAGATTCTTTTACTGATATTTCTTTACTATTTTTAGTCGTTTTCGTCTTCACAACCAAAATGCACTGACTTTTATTAATTAATTAGATTCGATGAGTAATCTTAGTTTATTCGTGTATAATTACGAATATATTTTTTTCAATTTATTCAAAATATATATTCATAGCATCTTTTTTTATGGTGAAAACTATGATTTTTATCAGAAAAGGGGTTTTTCTACCATTTCCTTGGTCCCCTATTCTTATCATTCAGTTTTTCTGCGGTCAGTGGAATGATGAGAGATGGGACCCGACACATCCAGATAGACCACATATGAAAAATTTCAGGGATTGCTCGCCCGGATTCCGTCCTGATTTTCCCAGAGTGATAGGCTGATGATTTACAAGTCTTTGCTTTGGTGGTTAATCCCATGTCTTATTGTATCGCATTCATATATTTTACTATAGTATATAAAAAAAATATGATAATATACTTTAACTATATAATTTTTGAATGTTGAAATTAAAGATTTCATTCAAATTTGAAAGACGTGAAATTGGATTTGGAATAAACTTCTCGTTATATCGAGGATATAGTTTAAAAACGATGAAAGAAAAACAAAAATAGTATTGGCAAAATATTGTTCTTTTTGAAATATATTTTTAGGAGCAATTTCCTCTGAAATAAATATTTTTGATGGATTACAGATAAGAAATGAAATGCAGTATTAGGAACTATAAAGACACACCATTTGTAACAGATTGTAAGTTTAATAGATATTTACAATAAGAATGTGTTTCTACTTAGCTACAAGAATGCAATAATTAATTAATAAACATTATACATTTTGAATATCCATAATTGAATTAAATTAAACTTTATTAAAAGAAAAAAAAAACATTTCACTTAACGATACATCAATTGTTTAATTCAAGCATGTATTTCATCGCTTTCGGATTCATTTGAGCAAGAAGCAATATGTAACTCAACAAAAGACTGAGAAATGTAAGAATAAGTCCTCTAGATATTACAAAACATTTACCAGCTGTTAAATAAATAGGATGCCCACTAATTTTAATAATCAGCAACTGAATATCTCGGTAAAGCGGGCGAAACGACACTGATTTTGAATGCGATAATTCAACAAGGACAGGAACTGATTTCATATAGGACTCGTAAACAGAACCCCCAGTGATGCATATTATAATCATAGCTATAATAGCATATACTAAATCAAACGTTATTATTAATGATCCTCCAACTGCTAGAACTGTTTCATTTTCTCCTGCGAGGAAACCATTTACTTCAACACAGACAGCTACTAGAAGATGTGCAAACCAAGAAATTACCACAGACGAAAATACGTCGTCGACTTCTGTTACTAAATCACAAAGGTCATCGTGCTTTCTCAAGTATTGTTGAAAATAACGTATATTAAGAAAAACATTACTTTTAGAAATATTTTCTAGTTCGGCGCAAAAACTATCGAAGTGATCACGAAGACTGAATACTATTTCACTATATAACAGAATAAAAAATGCAACAGTACCCCAACCGTATAAAACATAAAAGCACCATTCTGAAAAAACGAAGAAAGCTTTTATCTGGCTATGAAAGTCGGTACTGTTAAATACAGGAAAATAATCGTTAAAAACATAATTAATATCCCAAGAATTTATTGCGTTACTAACAATGATCAAATAAGTGATGAAAAATAAAAGAGTAACTATTACCAGTTTATTTAGTTTCTCATTTGCAGAAGTTTTCTTTCTCTCAAATGAAAAATCGAAAGTTTGTATTTGATGAATCACTCCCCTTAAAGTCTTGCGTCGAATGAACATATAATCCGCAGTAAAAACAGCGGACATAATGTCAGCCATGTTCGTTGTCTCATACCAGTTTCGTTCATCGTTCATTTCCTGAATAAAAAACAATAGCTGTATTAATGTATAAAAATGCAAGAAAAACATATAAATTGCTGTAGTTGTATAATAAAGTATTTTATCCTTCATATATTTTGGCTCTTCTATTGCCCATGCAGTTCCGTAAATTTTTGACAAAATGATTATTACAGAGGATACCATGATTGATTTTATAGACATACGTGAGAAACTCTTACAGATTATTTTCATAGAATGACATGCTTTATATCTCTATCGATTATCTGATAACTGACATTAAATTTATCCAACGGACATGTATTATTTCGATTTTTAAGCAATGTTTACATACGGAATAGAAAAGCATTGTTATTACCAGATGGTCTAGATAAGTACATGTTTTCAATCTTATTGGAACATTTTAAAATCAATAGAAAGAGAACTGTCATCAAAATTGGTATGGAAAAAATAAGAAAAGGTTTTCAAACATTAGGTAATTAACTTATTTTAAATGTAAATATTGCCGGCCAGTTGACTAAGGCGATTATGGAATCCATCTACCGCTCTAGAGGACTCAGCGTCGAAGCTGGGTGGGCGAAAAATACCAACAATTTTTCACGAATGATCTGTCCCGGATATGTCGGGCTCTTCCCTCACCGTCCTCATTGTGATTGTAGCCAAACCCATAATAGTATGATTGATAGGAAAAAATTATCTGAACAGAAGTTATTTTATTAATTTTGAATAGCAATAAATACATTGCAAAAAGAGTAAATTATTGTTTATAAATAATGTTATATTTAAATTTGAAAATAAATACAATGATCCATGCTACATGAGATCAGGGGGGGAAAACTTGGCTTTGTGATGAATCCAGAACCTTAAGTCTAAATTTCATATATTTGGAATAGTGTTAAGCAACAGTTTATTAAATACTTACATAAAAATCATCTGAAATTAACAGTGACAACTGTCCGTACTGAGTACATTGAGAAGATTTAAAATTTTTCTTGATTTGGAGAAGGATACTTTGAGAAGTCTTGCATAAGTTTTAAATAGGTGTTCCCAATTCGTTTCTTATCCGTCAATATTAAAGAATGTATATTGGAATAGTTATTATTTCAACATCGTTACAGTAAAACCTCGATTTAACGGACTAATTCGATGAGAGGATGTCCGTTAAAACCGAAAGTCCGTTTTATAATAAATTAGGCCGAAGTTTTCTATATGCGCATTTTAAAAAACTGACAAATTAGTCAATCTGTTTTTACTTATGTAGATACGTTGTGTAATTAAAATTAAGTATGCACGAGAAAAGTTTTCTATACATACTCATCGTAGTTCTGAGATTATAATAAGTATATGATCTAAATCGAAATAAATTAACTAACTTTTTTTTGGTAAATACACTTCAACTGTATTTCACTAAACAAATATTAGACTACAACTTTTATAATAGAGCTACTCTTAATTAAACTTGTTCTGAAGTTGAGAACTTCAAGACAATATAACATTGTAATGTATTTTCATTTACACATCGAGACTTGCACAGGCATGGTTCGATGAAATGGGTGTTCAAAAACTGGACTGGCCTTCTCAGAGCCCCGATCTAAATCCCATAGAACATCTTTGAGATTAATTAGGACGCAGATTACGTAGTCAGCCACATCGACCATTCTCACTGCCAGCATTCACTTCAGCCGTGATAGACGCCTGGAAGTCAATTCCAATGGCCACCTATCAAAAACTAGTGGAAAGTCTCCCCAGACTTGTACAGGCTGTCATTGATGCAAAAGGAGGACAAACATCATATTAATATATGCGTCAGGACTCTCCGAGTCCGTACTACTAGGTGTCTGGATACTTTTGGCCAGATAGTGTATTTGTATAAACCTCTCTACAATATTACACTATAATATATTGTCTAGGAAAATCGGAAATTTTTGAATAAAAATCTAGGGAACACTTCATTCAACTTTTTTTTGGCAATCCTATGATACGACAAACCATCAAACTTACTTATTTGTAGTTACTTTATTAGATTTACATATTTGACATTTCTAGGTACCTATATTTAAATTTTATTGATAATTTCCGTAAGATTCTTTTACTGATATTTCTTTACTATTTTTAGTCGTTTTCGTCTTCACAACCAAAATGCACTGACTTTTATTAATTAATTAGATTCGATGAGTAATCTTAGTTTATTCGTGNAATTATTATTGTTTTTTAACATCAAAATAACACTTTTTATTTGAAATTCACAAAAAGTTTAAGAAATTAGAAAAGTATTACTAAAAATTGTTGCTTTTAGATATTAACAGCATCTCTGATTGATTGTATTCACAAAATTAATTTCTAAATAAAAAACATAAGCTTCAGCGTCCACACAGTTCCAAAAAATAAAAGTAAAGGTGTAATAAATGTGGAACTTGAATTGGAAGACTCAACGTCTAGCATATCTTTTATTCTATCCCAGGAACCGTTATTCTTGGCAGGTGTCATGTGAAGCAATTTGCATATTAAATTATATTGATCTACGTTCTCAATAGGTGGTGAGAGATAATTTTTCTTTAAATCTGAAATAATATACAGTATTAATTTCAATATCAACATAATAAAAACTTTATGCAAACTATCAATATAAATATTATAAAATTACAAAACATAGTTGTTATGTTTTGATATTTATAAAAAAAATTAGCAATTATTTTTATTATTTTTTCTGTCATGATGACATAATATTCGGTTTATTTATGTCAGCTTCAGTCCTCAACCTAACCGAACCTATGCTATAAATGTCTCTACTGTGTCTGGATAGATGTTTAATTGATGGAACCCTGTATAGTAACGTAATATAATAAAACTAAACCATGAAACAAAAATCCAGCAACGAGTTTTGTTACTTTCCAGACCAAACTTTATAATTTTGTTTGGCATCATCTGTTGTGATATTTTAATTTAAAATTTTTATATTATTAATTATTATAAAATGACAAAAGGCTTAATTTTGAAGGTACAGATGAGTTTTATAATAAAAAAAAAAATTGTAAATGCTAGTAACAAGTAAAATCTTTATTAAGTCTTATCCCACTCGAGATACAACAAGTGATCCTCCTCTTTTTTCCCATCCCTCGACCTTTAAACACCAACATTTAATAGCATCAATCCCCTAATACCCAAAGTTTCCTGCAAAATTTCAGAAATTTTCGACAAAAGGCATAGGAATTATTAAGCTTTAAAGTAAATGAACAAAATTGTGCCTCCCTCCACACACACTAACACCCATACAGAAATCTCCATTTTTTTTTTTTTTTACATTTCTCGATATTTCAAGATCCGAGTTCAAAAATGTTAAACTTGGGAGCCATCTTTTCGACCTGTACCTTCCCTCTTTCGCCGTACCGGGAAAGTAATATAGAGATGATAAGTAATGTAAAATAATATGCTTGGATCTATAGTGTTGAAATCAATTCTATTTTTTACTCGAAATAATCATTTTCTTAGCACATTTAGTACATTCAGAATCGATTCAAAGAAAATAATCAGGTCCTACTCCATGGCAATCTCATGTAATTCAGTAAATATTTCGTCAGAAATCCATATACATATGAAGGTAAATATGAGAAAAGTCATTATTTTCTCGTTTTATGCACTTCATTTGTCATTGGGATTATTATTGCAATTTGGAAAAACTGTACACCTATAAATTCCCACTGTCGTCCGTCCGTCCGTCTGTCTTTCCTTAATATCGAGAACGGAGTTAGATAGTTAAACGTCGAAACCAGATATGGACATATTAGAGGCAAGAGGTTCAGATTAACTATATAGGAACTTCCAATACAAACCGAAAATCGTGTTATTTCAATTCAAATTTTTCCCTCTGAAAGTTGTTAGACAAATGACCGACACGCTATTGTTAAGAGAAAAGTATAATGTACCCCTACAGGGTCAAGTCACTACTAATTTATTTCATTTAAAATATGATTAAAAATTGCAGCCCGGCATTGTAACGATGCTACAATAAATAATTGCTCGTTAAAAGTATGAATTCTAGTTTATTATCAACTGGAAGCGATAACACATTAAACGCTTTACCATGACCACAGTTTCGTCCATTAAGCATATACAGTATATTTAATGTTTATGGAAGAAAGAATATAATTATATTTATATTACATACTTTGTCCTCTAGCAAAAAATATACTTCTCATGTCTTCGACAACGTCTGGATCATATCCATGGTTTCCGTTACTAACGTATTTTACTTTCATTCGTGTTTTATTTGAATCAGATAACTGCAAAAGAATTTAAGTATTTTATTTTAATGAGGAAAAAAGTTTTAAAAACAATGGAAGAAAAATAGAACAAAAATCAAAGTAATAATTGAATAAAGTCTATTCCTAGGTTCATGACATAGCCTAAACATTCAATGATAAATCTGAATCTACACATTCGGATAACAGATTTCGTAATTTTCATGAATGGTTTGTTGGGTCTAACATATCACCAACCGCCTAGCTGAACGCATATAGTATTCGAATGTAATATCTATAACGACTGTATTTACAATTAATCATCAATAGCTAGAAGTTAACCAATAAGTATTTACGTACTGAAAGTAAAGAAAATGGTAATTGTTTAACTTCTGACTCTATTTCTTGATTTTTACTCATAAATACGGTCGTAAATGTTGTTTCCAAACCAAACCATATTGTAAATATTATCTACTATAATAATTGTAAAACTAAATGTTATTTTTTAAAATATATTATCATTACAATCATATATTATATTATCACTACTAGCCTATATTTTATGTAGGACTAATGATTCTGTGCAGAAAACGTCACGAAATTTAAATCATTTAAAGTTTTTTATATAAAATAATCAAGAAGGAAAAAAAATTCTAGAGAAGGTGATTATTTATTTAATACTTATTTTACAATATAATCATTATATGAAATATTGATATACAGTAGAGCGTCGATTTTCCGAATCAATTGGGGACTGGGGTTGTCCGGATAACTGATTTACGTACGAAAAAATAGTTTAACGTATTTGATTTCGAAATTTTTCTCCGTTGCGTGTCCCTTCGCATTGAATTTTCGTCGATGTTAAGCCTAACAAAGACTTGTTGTTAAGTTCCATCAAGTCGTCGTCGACTCCTGGTGACTGCATGGACAAGTCTTTTCTTGTCCATGTAGTTTTCTTGGCAAAAGTTGAGGAAGTGGTTTGCCGTTGCCTTCTTCCTTGAATGATGTGTCACGCGCGCTCGGGAAAAGAATGCCTTCCGGGAGGACTTTTATGGGAAACTGGCCTCCTATTTAGTCGTTATTGGCAAGGAGAAAACCCGGAAAACTCCAAGCAGCCAGCCTGTCCGATCGCGGCACGAACCCATGACCGAACTTCCCAGTGTTTAGGGTCAAGTCACCATCGCTATGAGCGGCAACGAAGACCACTAGGCCACTGGTGGGCATAACAAAGACTATTGTATCGTTAAAAATTATTTTTTTATTTCGTACAAACAAAATAAATATATTGAAAATTATAAAAATAATAAAAAATTATACTTCAGATGTTAATTTAGTATCAAAAACGTAAAATATTTGAGTAGCCCAAGACATAGCCAAAGATTGAAGCGCCACAGCACTGGCGAAAATTTAAATTTGCCGACTGGAATTCTTTCGGATGATTGACTTTTGGAAAATCGACGCTTTACTGTATATATACATATAAACATTTTTACCTCATTAATAAAGTAACCTTTGTCTGCCAGTATAAACAAAGGAAGAACGTATTTGTTATTTTTAAAATGATATTTTTCCGGAATTTCCTCTTTTTTAAATATTTGCAGTCCTTTAATATTTGCTCTCTTCAGATCGTTATATAACTAAAATATTAAGATAAATATTAAGGCTATTATAGACATTTCCATAAAAGCATTAAACCTAATTCAGAAATAGTTAAAATTACAAGTAGAAGTGATAAAAAATAAATAAAATCAGACTATAAGATGGCCGAGGTGTTATATTTCTCCGGGAGGATTCGAGATCGAATCTGGATTGTTACGTAAAATTAATAATTAATTTGACTATTTGATTTAATATTTCAGAAAATTACAAAATTGATTGTAGCCTGATTTCTTTTTCCGCAAAAGAATATAATCATTCTATCTTGAGAAGCACTGAATCGATGGTTTATATCGAGATAATATATATTAGTTATACATTATAAGTGTATATTATTTATCAAAAACACATTATAAGTTACATATATTTATATTTTTCTTTAAATATTTTAATGTCTCTATTAATATAATATAATATTATCTCTTTATAGTTTTTAACAAATTTTTTGATGAATTAAATAATGTTACACGAATAAATCTCCAATTCACTCAATTTCCACACTAACATAATGCAATATCTAGTTTTTTCGTTTACTTTGCCAGTCTGATAAAAAAAATAGCTCCAATAAACAATTTTATAAAATTGTTACATAAAAAATAAACTTTATGTGTAAATAACTGCCATTTTTCTATTCTACAGTTTTTTCGCCATATAGAGCTGCTATTTTAAATATTATCAGGCTTGCGCTCAGAAAGTAAGAAAGTAAGATGGCGAAGAAGTAACGTGAAATCGAGACGTTTAATAGACACATGTAGAGAAGGCAATTCATGACTTCCACAACGTGACTTGTAGGGATCCTTCCTTTCATAACACAAATAAACCTATCTCTGTAAATTTTGTAATAAGTACTCTGATAGATTTCATTATTCGATTTATTCTGTATTGTCTTTCCTGTCTTTGATATAAGTTATATATCTATAATCTTCTATCTACATGTTATGCTGCAGACGTTTGCCTATAAGTAAGTGGTTATTTCAAATATTCTTAAATTAACAACAGTTAATATATCTAAATTATCTACTCACTTTATCTAATTTTCCTTCTTCTGGTAAAATCATCGAAGACGATCCTTTATTTAATATGTACTTAATATCATCGGCGAAAGGTTCCATACTGATCTGTTCTACGTAATCTGGGCTAGTATTCGTCATTCCGTGATCACTTACAACGACGATGCTCACCTATTTAAAATTTAATAACTAACTAGATCTTCTAATAATTTATTTCAAAATTTTATCTAACGTTACTATTAAGATTATTTACTAAATTTTTGAGAAAAGATATTATAAGTTCATCACACAAAATTTTTAAAACTATTTACGTATAGTACGGTACATTCACTATTTTAATAGTTAAACTATGTAAATAGTTGTGAAAATGTTGCAAAATATCAAACTTATTCATTATTTTTAGATGAATATTTTGAGATGTTAATAGTTAAATAAAATTCTTTGTAATATTATTCTTTTGAATGTTTAGAATGCAATTCCACTATTTACGTATAGTACGGTACATTCACTATTTTAATAGTTAAACTATGTAAATAGTTGTGAAAATGTTGCAAAATATGTAACTTATTCATTATTTTTAGAACAATCGGGATTCTAAGAATCTAAAATCAAAATGCGAAGAAATAAGCCCTTAATTTTCCATCAAGTACGTGGAATTTGAAGTGTGGTGTCTGTGAAAATCAATGTAAGAGCATGAAATTAAATGATGTATAATTATGATAATCCTCGTGTACTCGTGNCTTTAAATATAGTTGCTACTTGATCTTTAGTTTTTATACGAGATATGTAATAACAGAATGGACATATCAAAATTTTTGGTAAGTAATGAAGTAAGAACAGGTTAAGTAAGAGGTATGGAAGTAAGATAACGAAGAAACTGGACTAAATACTTATAGTTTGGGTTAAAACTGCAAACATCGCTGTTGAGTTGTAGTTCTCTGATCCAAATAACTAAACTACTAAATATTTAATAACTTTTTCTACAGAAAACTTTGTTATATTAGTAATATGAGTCAGATTCAGTAAATAAGATTATTAGCACTGATAAAGAAAAATAACGTAGTGTACAAGGTTGCAACTAATAATATTGAAAAGTATACAATATCAATAGTCATCCCTACCAGATGGTATTTACGTTTACTACGCGATTTACAAAATGGCGTAGCCCATATCGAACTGCACCAGAATCGAATAGTGAGCTATTATTCGATCCATCATAGGTTATATGCACAGCATGGAAAGTCATGCATGTTGCAGAAAAAAGCTCGCAAATGGATATGAATCCAAGTTTTTTGTAGTGAAATGCACACTCTCCATTATGTGCACACATCCTCCATATTGTCACTAGGACTGTCAAAAATCGAATAACATGATTTTTAACTAATTCAAAGATTTTCTTTCCTATCTTACTGCGCTTATTAAATGATCATGCTTTCTTTTACAATTATAATAAAAATTATTTATTTATCAATCTTCTGAAACCGTGTTTTCTTAATTTCTATGATTCACAAACACAAGTAGTAGCACGGCTTGTGTTTGTGAATCAAAAAAATTATTTATATTGAGGGATGCATCAAGTACATGAATCAAGATATACTTAGATCTCATTTAATTTTCTTTTTAATTTAAGAATAATATGAAAGAAAGTAAGTTTTGTTAGCATGATAAACTGTTTTACTCAAAAATATTGATATATCTTTTATATTTAAAAAAAATAATTTAAAAAATATATAATAGATACAAATTTGATTAATTTAAAATGGAATATTTGTATTTTAAATCAGGGGTCTCAAACTCAAACGCAGCAAAGGGGCATTCAAATAGATGTATATCAGACGCGGGCCGTATTCATTATTATACGGGTAAACCAAAACATACTGTAAACTTAAAAAAGTCTCTAACAAAGCTCCTTTTGATGTCAAGTCTTTATGACTTATGTAAACAATTAGAAGTTTGAATTGTTTCTGTTTTAATTCCCGCAAGATGTTAGAAATATTGATTTTTAGAAAAGAAATCTTAAAGGCTGCAGGTCGGATAGGAAGCCTTAACAGCCCTCATCCGGTCCGCGGACCGCCAGTTTGCGACTCCTGTTTTAAATGATTCAATATTCTATGCGGAAAATTTTAGACTACTTTTTATGTTTGAAAATAAACTTCCTTGAACTGCTTATGAAAGCTGTAGTTTGCATAAAATATTAGTGTATATAATTGGTCCCAATTACTCAATGAAACTGTTTGAGCTCAGTTCCATATAATAAAATTGAAAGTTTTAAGATGCTATTCAATGGTTAGAACAGATTTTAAAATTTTTTTTGGAAAAATAAAATTTTCTTACATTTTGAAATTTGAAATGCTTTGAAAATTCTGTAATTATCATTGTCTTCTCATAAATGTATAACATTAAAATGCAGTATTTTATTTTAAATACATATTATAAATGCACTAAAATGCAATAAATGAGATTTATTTTAAAATGAGATTTAAAATGAGATTTTAAAATGAGATTTATTTAGATGTCTAAATTTTTTAGTGTTTTAATTATGTCGGTTTTTTAAGTTTGATTATAAAATCACTTTATTTAGAAAATAAACTTGAATAGTCTCTTGTTGTTTATGATTTGAATTTAGATACCATGCAATTTCTAGTTGCGAAATGCTTCTTATTGCGTATTTTGCATATACTGCATTTCTCTAAGATTACGTAAATGAATAGGTCTATGTTTTTATATTTTGATTATTAATATTTCTTATCATACTTAGCTTCTATATTAAAGTTCAGTATATATAACAATTAAAAACTCTATAAAACAAAAAAGCTTAATGGTTCACCTGACTTCTTTCGTAATACAACGTGTTTTGAGAAGCAAAACAGAAAAGTATTGGAACTAATCGATTTGTCAAAATGTGTTTTTTATACACTTCTTACTAAAAATCTGTCTTCAGTAAAACATCGAGCTCTTCTTTATATTGTTTTATTAAATGAAAACGTGTTTTCTTTTGAAATATTTAATTAAATTTTATTTTTTAATTTTAAAAAAATCATATAAATAATAAATAACATTTTTTGTTACTATTTCCTCCCTGCAAGCAATAAGAGGTCTTTTTCCCCATGCACATTATGGGTTCGGCTAGGCCCAAAATAGGGCGGCCAGGTGATGAAGGACGGGGCCGACATATCTGAAACGACCGCTTGCAAAAAATTCCTGAAATTTTTCAATCTTTCCGAATATTAAAAATGATTTTTTTTATGTAGCCCCTGTGATATTACGTTTTCTTACATTGTCACACTAGAAAGTTTTAAAATAAATATTTTACTGTAACTTTAATTAATGATATAAATTAAAATAATTTTTTTCCTAAATTTAAAATTTTATTGTAAACCTTTTACCGTATTTTTGCGGAATGTCGGACATGCCGGTCTATATGGGGAGACCATAAAATCAAATATTTCGGTATGGTAAAAATCGGCATGCCGGCTTATCCCGAAGAGAATGCCGGTATGCCGGTTTAAGTGAGGTTATACAACTTCTCCTGCTACCTGATCCGGTCATCTCAAGGTGGGGAACATGGATGAAGACTTTCTATTGCAAAAATTTGCAGAAAATCAAAGAATTTGTTCTGCATGTAGACGATTCTGATACTGCTGCAGTTGGTCAAATTCAGAACTTAGGTTTAGACACTAACTATTCTGGAAGAACTCGCTCCTGTTTCATTAAATTCGTTGTTGATGCAATCACCGAATTAGAAAGAAAGCGTTCTCAGTAAGTGATAAGTTAAATGAATTTGCCAAGCAAAAATTTAAGAAGAATCTTGCTAAAATTCCAGACTTAAAGAAGATCGTGGAGGCAATAATTTAGAATTTCGAGTCAATACCAGGTACTGTACTTGCCACTTACATATATAGATGTTGAACGATATTTTTCCGAATACAAAGATACCCTTTTATATAGGCTAAACGGAGAAAATTTATATTTGAAAATTTGAAATGATTACTATTATCCGAATTAATTCATTCCTGTTAACAAATGATCAGCGTCAATGATATGTAAGTATAGTATAAAAATGAATAACCTGTGAAAAATATACAGTAGACACCCTATGACACGGGTTCATATAATACGGATTCGTATAACACGGCGAAAAAATTGCGATCTTATTCGTATAAACACGCTAAAAGAGATTCGTATAATACGGTAAAACGTCATCGCCGACTCGTGTCGCGACAGGATTGGTCTAATCTAGACCAATAGCAGATATTGCACAAACCGTTGAGTTTAAACGAGCAGCGGACCTACTAAAAACCATTTACTATTTAACGGCCATAAAAATTATATTTATATTAATGATGTCTCCAAAGTTCAGCGAATTTTTCGCAGAAAAATAACTTATCAGGAAATACGCGCCCGCTGTTCGATGCGCCACTCTGCAACGAAAACAAGCTTAAGCAATGGCGTTGTCGAACGGTGCACACTCGGTAAGTAATCCTACAACTTTTTGTTTATAGCATAGTTTATATGGATTATTCCCAAAAAAATTATATGTGTTTTGGAAATGTTGAGTCAAATTAGTCTAGAATCGATTAATTTTATGGAAGAAAAACTTTCAAACAGCCGTAGTCCCTAAACTGCACACGTGCCGTGCTGTGATTGGCTCATGTATTTAAGTGACTCGTAAAACACGAAATTCATTTAAAACGGAACGTATCTTCCGTGTTATAGGGTGGTCTACTGTACTGTATCCTTAAATAAAAAATTTTACTCCAGACGCCTAACGCGATTTTTCTTTGCACTATTTTTGCTTCTTAGCACTCTGTACACCCATTTTGAAACTTTTTTAGAACACTAAAAATCCTAACTTTAATGATTAACATAAATTATATCACACAAACCTGATCAAAAAGACGTTTTTCAGTTATCAGATTTTGAAGAGTATATAGGATTTTATCTATTTCCTTTACAGATTTTTTTGTTTCTAACGAATCGGGTCCTTTTGTATGACCTGAAATTAAATTACGTAATTATTAAGACTTAAAATTAGAGATATTAGAAATAACTGTTAGATTTTTAGTAAGAATGATATAAATTACATAAAATTATTGTCATAATAAATATGAAAAACCATTTCATGTCATAATAAGAGGAAATATTTTATTTTTTTCAGTTACTTGCATAACATAGAATAGTCTGCAAGAATGAATATTTAAAGAAAAAGGATCATTTATTATCATACCAGTCTTGATATTATCACTGTTTACGCTGCATTATCTAGGAACTACACAAAATGATTAGCCAACTTCAGCATTTCATGCTGATATAAATTCAAGTTTGAATCGATTTTAATTATTATAATAGCAAAACATTTACTTGGGTTTAATCTATATTATCTATATTAATTTTATATAATTATCTATATATAATCTATATTAATTTTAATCTATATAAATAAAAATGTAAATGTTAGTTTGTTCAAAATCTTAAATCTTCGAAAGTCTTAACCGATTGCTTTGAAATTTTGATACAACGTTGCATTCGAATACGCGCATGCTTTTATATTATATAAATGTGGAAACTCTCCCTCCCCCGGCCGGAGAGAAGGACAAAATTAAAGCTTACCGTAAAGAACTGGTCTTCTATTATTTTATTTTAGATGCTGGTTTTTGCGTTTTTGATTGCGTTTTAATAGGGTACGTCGAGAGAATGTACACTAAGAAGGGATTTTTCGAAATTCCCTCCGCGGGGAGTGTTATACATTTATAATAGATACATTTTGAGCCACAGCAAGGCGTGGCCGGGCACAGCTAGTAAAATATAAAAAAAAGTATCTTATATTTTTATATTTACAGCAGAGATCATACGGTACAAGTGTAGAAAAATAACTGTACGGTAAAGTAAAGTACGATTTCAAAGGTAGAGGTGGTATTTACATAAGGCGACTATAGTACTATCCGGTGTATAAAATCACTAATTTAAGTATACAATATATATAAATGATGCTAAATATACTTAATATCACTAATTTACATATTTGAGTTCAGACTTTGGTTTTAAAACAGACATATACAAACCATTGTTATCTACAGCTCCATAATAAAGCATAGCTAACCGAATTTCCTCCTTTTCGAATAAATCAAGTGTTTCTTCCAATTTATTTATAATATCTTTTGTAACATTTTCTCCTCCGGCAGTATATCTATGCGGTAAACAGATAGTGGGTTGTATACCATGAATCTTCACTTGGCAACCAGGCCACCAATATGCAGCTGTCTTAATTCCCTGTTTTTCTGCAGTTACCCATATAGGTTCAGCGCTTTCCCACCAATGTGAGTTGGTAGAATTAGGATTAGGAAGCATTAGGAAAAACTCTTCTCTGTCTACATCGTACATAATATTCTGAACAAATCCATGGCTTTCTGGATAAAGACCTAAAACAGAAGAAACAATTTATATTGTATTTAGCTGTCGAAACTATAATATAGATATATACTATATATTCAATAATTTTATGATTTGTACTTAAGATATTAATGAAGTGCCATTGATGAGCAAAGAAGTAGGCCTATAACTTATTAGTAATGCAAATTAACAATTGTAATTAATTATAATTATATCATTACATCTGAATGTTGTTTGGATCCTGCATAAAATAACATTCCGATGCCAACAACAGTAGAAACTGCATGTGGGCGATAAACAACAGCTAATGGATTAGTGCAATTCTATGTTAAATATGATAGATGTGAATCCGAATTTCATTGCTAAAAAATCCTAATCGCACATTCAACCACTTACGATGTTTTGAAGCGATGCATTACTATCCCTTGTATGTTGTGCAGTAAAACATTTACCCGTCATGTTTGACAGCTGATCTGAAATACCATTTGATATTTTGGAATGAACCAAAAGCTAATAATATATATATTTTTTCATGTGCTACAACTTTGTAATTGACAATATTACCCTATTTTCATTATGGATTGAGATTACAACATTCCTCTCCGACAGAAAGGCTCGGGTCAGCGGAAATTCGCGCCATCGTTCAGCGCATACCGATGCACTACACATTTTCATTGATTGCCCTATTAATTTTTAAAATTATTAGCCGGGAAGAGACTTCTGTTACCATTCCATATTCACTGTATACTATATAAGCCTATTCTATAATTTAAATAATCTGATGAAGTATTATGATGTTCATGTACGTATTAAATATACAAGCCTCCGTTTTCGAACTCAATTCGTTCCTAAAAGTTGTTCGAGAACCAATTTGTTCTTAAACCGAAAACAAACTTTCCCATAAGAAACAATATAAAATAAATCAATCCGTTCTCGGACCTCCAAAACAAAGCTTTCTTTTTACCTTTTTAGCTGCATTTCATGCATAAAAATGCCTACAATTGCAATACAGTATAATATTATCTATATCTACATTATATCTTTATTCGTGTACGAATGTCGTTTGTCCTTAAGTTTTGAACACGTATGACTACATAATATACTACTTATACACATTACGCTACTACAAATAGTTTTATTCATTACCCTTATAATATAGTTCAGTTGCAAGGGCGTACCTAGGATCTGAACTAGAGGAGGCAACTCATATTAGTTTGATTCATACTAAGTTGATACGTCTGTGCTGTGTATCAATTACTACACTTTAATTTTTCTTCTAGGGAGGGGCAGCTGCCCCCTGCCCTCACTGGGCATGCCCTTGTTCAGTTGAATTTGTTTAAGAAAACGTTACTTTTATTATATAGTATATAAGATAAGCGCATCAAATGATGACATTAAGAAAATTTTTCTAAAATATTTCCTCATTACCACGCGTTAACTTATAAAAAATTTAAATCTAAGAAAAACTTTTCTTACCTGTTACAATGCTTAACGCATTTGGATAAGAATTTGAAGGGAAAACAGGTTTGACATACTCTGCTTTGACGCCAAATTCTGCTAATTTGGCAAAACCTTTCAGACTTGTATCATTTACATAATCCCAACGACAACCATCGATTAGGATAAATATCACTTTCGTAGATTTATTATGATGATCCGTTTTAATCAGAATAAAACAAAATACCAAAATGATAAACCGCAACATTCCGAATTCAGCTTCGTATTAACTGGCGTCAGTTCATAAAAAACTGAATTTTATATTAGTACAGGAACTTCCAGTCATCTTAAAATCAAGGTCATATAATAATATCGTAAATATCAACGTTTACCTTGTTTGTCTCAATCTTACTGTATACGTATTTATACTAATAAACTAATCATTAAATTAATATTAATAATCCTTATAATTTAATTATTTGTAATTAAATATTTTTCTTATTAAATAATATCTATTCAAGTTTTATTTTATTCGACGACAAAAAGATTTTTAAAAAATTAGAAAATGTTTATATTTGACATGAAGATAACTTGTATACAAAGACGTTCACCTCGTATAAACAAGTGATAAGCTTTAATATTTTGTACTGTATATCTCAGAAATTATTATAAAATATTTTTTAATCGTTGTTTCGAAACGTTTAAATTACAATATCAATTAACGCAGTGCTTATTGTACATCATTAATTTTTTAATTTTTTTCTTGCTTTTTTAAGAAGTAAACACATATTATTTTTTTAAATAAATTAATTTAATTTAAACAAAAATTGTCTATTAAATTATAAGAGTAAAATTTCATTTTTTCTAATTCGTGAAAATTATAAGAATGCACAAAAAATATTTTAAGATTTCTACTGTCCATTAAGCCTGTAGCTACAAATTCAGAATTATAATATAATGTATGCGTTTCAAAATGTCTCTAGTCAAAATATACGAATTTATGCTGACTTAGCAACTTTACATTGCAATGCAAATTAACTTTAATGATTCAGTAAACATAACATTATATTAGCGGGATGTCGTACAGTCAATTCTCCTATCACTATAAGTAATACATGTTAAAATCTTATAAGGATTATTTTAAATTTTTAACAGATAATATACACAATGTATGCTTTTCCAATTCTTGTCCACTTTATTCTACTAATATGTAACGAGAACGATAATTTATAAACTTCATAAAATTCCATCCACTTCTGCTATTACTTTTTATATTTATTAATATGTTATCACAATATAAAAAGTTTATTTAGTCTATAAAAAGATTAAATTTTACTGAAGTTAAAATATAAATATTAATTTAAAATCCCAGGAATATTAAATAGAGTAAGTGATTTTTATAAATTTTTGATAAAGAGGAGGAAAAAAATCTTTTTTTATTCTGAGATCACCGAGTAGCTAAAGATCTACGTAGAAAAGCGTTTATTAAATTTTATAGTACATTTTTAACTTTAATTTTCAGCTTTACGTAAAGAATTTATACATTTTTGTATTTTTTTACGTAGGCCTATTTAATTTTTACTGTTAATATAGAAAAACGTTAATTCTTTATTTTATTGTATCTTATAATCTCATAAAGAAAGACATAAAAATTCATTATTTTTTTCTCATTGTAGACTGGACAGGACAAATGTAAGTGAAAGAAAAAACTGGCTAAACCTAACTTAATTATTCCTAATATCTTCAATAGAAAGAAAATTTTAATGAAAACACTACCGACGTGACATTGCGCAGTTTGGATGTAAAAAAAAAAAAATGGAAAAACTAGAAAGAGATGTATGTCCAAATGGCAAAAATTAAAATGCAATAATGTTCATGTCATTTCGGGAAAAACGAGTGTAGACAAAATGCAAGCTCGAACATGAAAAAGAAAAACGATGATATTAACTAGGATAATATAGAAAAAGCAATTATGCGAGTAGGAATAATAATTAATTTATAAAATCTTTGTAGAAATGGCTAACAAAAGAAGTACAACTTTTACATGCGATAAATGAAAGTTTTTTCTATTGCAAATTAAGAGCACACTTTAATTATTCGTAACACAAAATTAATTTTTTCAGATTCGAAAAGATTCGATTGCTCATTCTTGAATGTCATTATTTATTAAATTTGCAATATTTATTAGATTAATAGGACCTATATTGATTGCTTTGTCGGTAACCTGTAAAATAATTTACTAATTAGTATGTTTATTAGTGCTTCACGATTGAAATTTATAAAAAACGATTACTTTAAATTTTTTATGGCCGTTTCCATTAATGTTTACACTGAAAATGAACAGAGTCTATGCACCTAACAGCGACTTTCTGTGCATGCTTTTGTATTGTGGAAATTTTTATTATTGATTTATACTAACTGAGGGCTAGATGGCCGAAACGGTTAAGGCTTCCATTGTAAGCTTGGTCAAACTCATGATAGAATGATTAAAAGCGCCCACGATGCGGAGTCAAAAACCGGAGAATATCCCTCGACAATTCAAAAATGTGAACAAAGATAAAGGAATTGAGTATTTGATACATACGACCAGCAAACAATTTGTTATCGACCATAAACATGTCCGTTCATCATTGCAATCGCACCAATAACAGATATTATTCGACCTTATTTTTTCACAAATGAGACATTCGGATAGTTGTTCTACGTTTCTGGAAAACAGAACAAATGGAAAATAAACTAATTTTTATTAGTTTTCTCCTTTGTTTTCTGTAAATGGAAAATAGACTTTAGAATCTACGAAGAAGAAATGCAATAATTAAAAAAGGAGGAAAATAGCATTAAAAAAGACACTTTAATATGCGATTATCTAATAAACTGAACTAAAATATATTCGATATATTTAAGATTATGATTAAAAAACATTTTTTCTATCTAAAATGATTTTGAATTATTTTCTTCTATTTTTTTATGTACGTGGAAAAACTGGAATAAAGATAATATTATATCTCTAATTCCTATGATTAAAATTAAACATATTTAAAAAGTGTTTAAATAAATAAATTTTTATTTTAAAACGCATTTTTAGTGACCATTTATTATTATTATTATTATTAATTTATATTTTTTTAACAATTAAATTTCATAATTCATTTTAAATAATAATTCGTTATTGTTTTTCTAACAATAATTAGACTGCTTGTTACAAATACTATTATATTTATATTGACGACTAATCTTACTGATATGACCGAAAATAATATTTTACCTGAAACTAGCGATCAGTTCAAAGGAAATATGAATGATAGCCGAAAGTATATAAATTCTATTGATAGTATAATAGGAGCTTTAGTGACGACTATTAAGTTTACTTCTCCTCGTAACAGCGATGTTCGTAAATGTAGGATTTGTTTCTCTAACGAAGAACCTCTGATTTCTCTCTGTCACTGTAGAGGTAATTTGTTAAAACGTCTTTTTTAGCATAAAATATTGTTATGTGCACTCAATCTTCGCGAATATGAAATTTCAGTGAATTGGTTATTACCCCAAAGGTCCAGTACATTTTTAAAAAATTAACGGTAATAAAATAAGAAATATTTTAATTAATTTTTGCATTTGTTTATAATTTAATAAAGAAGAAAAATTAAAATATTTGCAATAAAATCAAAGGAAAATCCATTCTCTTATCCTGGGTTCAAAATAAAGACTGAAATGATAGCCCTATTAGAGAAAAACAGTGATTACATTACAAGTGAACACACTCGGAATATAATCATTGTTTTTTTCTTCTCTCCAATTCATTTTTCTTTCCTCTCTCTTATTTTCATTTCTTCAAATATATTTTCCATGTGTAGCATACCTGATTCTCATAATGTCTGAGTGTGCGAATAACGCACTCATTTCGGAAAGCTTCACGGATGCACCCGAATACAAAATAAATCGTTTATGTTTACCATCTGTTTCAAGAAATCACACAAAAATAAAATTGCATTTAAAAATCCTCGAACATAAACATACTTGAGTGTACAGCATTTCTACACTGGATACATCCCTGAAATCCAGGGGATTTTCATGGTGCTGCAGCACCATCTTGATACTAAAGTAATCGGTTTTGTTATTTTAAAATAAAAGTAAATATAATAATGCATGTCGTCTGACTTCAGTTAGGTAATATTAGGTAATTAAAATAATTCTAAAGGTGATTGAATAACGTAAAAAAAAAAAGAGGGCATTTGTCTTCGTCTCCCCGATTCTACATTGAATAGTACCCATATTCTCAAAATCCTAGAGACGCCACTGATAAAGTCATATATTATTATTATTATGACAACAACAAAACAGTTAAAGAAATCGTTAAATGTTTAAATTTTCATAACTTTGTGTAGGTTCCGTTGGTTTAGTTCATCGCAAATGTTTAGAAAAATGGCTGGAAACTGGAAAAATCGATACTTGCGAATTGTGTCGTAAGAATTTTAATATTATTCGAATACCGAAAGTAAAATTTCAAATTTTGTTCTGTATTTAAAGTAATACTTAATTATACTTTTTAAAAGTTCTTATTAATATCTGTACATAGAACTTTTCCGATTGGTGGAAGAACTCGGAAAATGTAGAAGAAAAAAGAAATTTGAAAGTAGATGCCTTTGTAATATGCATTTTGTCTCCAATGGCATTTCTGAGTTTAATTCTTTGCCTGCAGCTGATTACTGAAAATATCCAACGAAAACTTTGGGTGGAAGCTGCAGTCATTTCAACATTTTGCTGTTTCTTAATGTTTGCATTTACATTTCATGTTGTTTTGACTGTCAAGTTAGTATTATAAATTTATTACATTAATTTGAAGATGTATATAAATACTATAAATTAATTATTTCAGTTTCAAACTAAAAAATAATTTTAAATTTTGTTTCTGATTTTCAATTGCTGGTTTTCTATGATCCTTATTATTTAAAACATCAATAGAAATTCAATAAATATGTTTCTCCCTTAATAAAAGCTTACTTAGTATTCTAAATTAATATAATAAAGTTTGTATTATGTTATCAGAAGTCACCTTATCATATATCAAAAATGGAAAGAAAACCACTGGACTATTAAAATCTTGGATCAAAGTATATCCACAATGGAATCTTCCGCCTCTTTCCCGGATTGTAACAGGTAGTTTTTTTAAACTTTTTAAATGAAAATGTCCATAAATTAGTTCATAATAATAATAAATAGAAGCCAGCTCATATTTTATTCTAAAATTCTCAATAAAAGACAATTAATTCGATTTATTTTAGTTAATTAAATTTTCGACAGAAAAAACTTGCATATGGACTATCTTTATAAAGTCTGTAAATATCGCTATATATAAATATAAATGTACAGTAACATATATATATATATATATATATATATATATATATATATATATATATATATATATATATATATATATATATATATATATATATATATATNAAGAAACCAAACTAAAAATTTATATTCGTTACCAATTTCTACCTGTAAAGAATTAAAGAAATTTTCAATCATCCAATAAAACTTTGCATATCACTTTGGATGATAGTGATTTACTTTGGCTATAATAAATAAAGAACATTTTATTGTAGCAATTCTAATCAGTCGCTTTTATGTACACGGGCGTCAATCTATGAGGTAGAAGGAACATATCTTCCAATATTTCTGTACACAAATTTTCCCCCTCTCAAGATATATAAATATTCTTTATTTTATACCATACTAGAAAAATCAGGAGTGGAAACAAGTACACGGCACACATCAGGTACACCTTACTTTTATATCCACTCAAAATAATGAGAAAAAGTTTTCTTACTCATTGAGCACTTTACCAAGCAATGCAACCATTGTTCCGCCAGCAATGAACTTTAACAGCAAAGACAAACTTCTCGCCTGACATTGGTAAACCCATTTAAGATTTAATAAAATATACGAGGATACAGTACTATATAGGAGTAAAACTAAAAATTATTTAACACTTAATTTAGATTTTAAAATTTATTTATATAGCTTCTCGTTTATTTCTTAATAAATCTGTTATACGTAGTTTATATTATTCATTCATTTTAATTATATATCTAATTTATATTATAAAAAAAATAACGATACATTTCGTAAAATGCCCATCGTAATCAACGAAACAGCACGACGAGTTACGAAACAGCAAAAACGCATGCTATAACATCGTCGATTTTGAGCTGATAATCTGATGTGGAAGATGATGAAATGTAATATCCGACGACGTAATACAGTGACATATATTCACAGGCAAACTGACAATATTAAGCTTCCAAGACGACGGAACGGTCGTTCCAAATTCCATCCGTTGCGCATTCTCTAATATCGTCTATAAGCGAACATGCAAACGTACTCCTGTGGCTTAGTGACGATAGCCGTCGCTCCACTTACTGATTTTAAAACATTTTCAGCGGCTTCATCAGCGTCCAAGGGCTCTAACGACGCGCAAGACCAATTGTTTTTATTCCATTGACACAGCGTAGTGCTCCCAGATGCTGTCTTCCGCCCGCCAGTCACTACCGTAATATAAGCCGATCGTATATTATAGATATGGGTGATTCAAGAAATGGAAGCGTCCGAAATATTCTATAAGAGTGGTTTCACGATAAAAAAAAATTTAATGCTGGTTGCGGGAGATCAAACCGCGTTCCGGCGTACGCGCTGCTACCGCATGATCATTCAGCTTTAAATAGATAAACTTGTGGGAAACTTTAGACCAGTTCCCGCAATGACATCAACCACTTCAAGGAAACGGAAAGACAGTGAAACAGTAGTGCTAACGAGCTCAGCGTATCGACAGAAATTGAGAGATTTTCATGACAATAAGGCTGCGACTACGCAGACGCAAGCGAGCGAATTTGCCAAGCTATATGCAAGAGAGCGAGAAGAGGTGACAACGTTTCTCGCTCTCTCCACGCGAGCGAACGGGAGAACGTGGCGTGGAGATGATGACGTCACATGTTCGCGTTGAACTCGTCACAGGGGAGTGTGAATTATTGCAGTGTATAGAAGTAAAAATCAAAATGGTTCGATTACGATGCTTATTACTACTAGCAAAGAAAAAACTTTTGTTATTAGGATTAATTCATAATGAACACAAAAAAAAAAAAAAAAAACGAAAATACGGTATTCCTCCTCTCTGTAAACAGCGTGGACTAAGACGCGTGCGCAGCCTAAACCATCATGTTCTATTCAAAAAGCTGCAAAAGAACAGAAGAAAGCGACAAATTCAAGGCTGAAACGGAAAAAGACGACAGGTACACAACAGCATAAGTGGCAGTCATCCTCTCTCTAGTGCTGATTTTTTCAACGCAGAACTGATGGACGCACGCTAGTGCCATATTCCAAGAGATAAGATTGAAGAGGATAAGGATTGCACGTTTTGAACCGCGAAAATTCCAACCGGAATGGTGATGATTGGCTCCGATGCCATATGTGTTTAGAGTGAGGTCACTAGTTGTGTAATGCAGCCAGCAAAGAAAATCTCACAAAATACATTTTACGTTTTGTCTTGATGATTAGACAATTGGTTTGTTTCTGTTTTCCTATATTTATAGTATTTAACTATATATAAACTTCCGATGCAAATCAGAAGTTATGTTATTTTAATTCAAAACTTTTCCCTGAAAGGGGTTAGATAGATGACCGGCACGACTCTATTGCTATCAAAAAAGTATGATGTACAGGAGCAAGACACTACAGCACTAGTTTGAAGTGGAGAGCATATATTTTAAATTAAATAAATTAAAAATATGATTAAAAATTGCAGCCCGGCATTGTGACGATGTCACAATAAATAATTGCTCATTTATATCTCTTTGTCTTTTAAATGATACCTTTAACTATCATTTAAATTAACACCCACGTTTCTGTTTTCAGATTAGGCGTTGGAAATATGAAATTTTGTTAATATAAATAATAAATATTAAAAAAAACTATTTTCAGGACAAATTCTAGCCGTTTACTGATAGCTAATGATCAACAAAGAAGAGCTTCTTTCGACGTTTGCCTTCAGCGTAATGGTCAATTCGTTGAAAATTTTCAAGTTCACTATATTTAAAAAAAACAATAAATAAGTTCGACTGATATTAGAAAGTTTTAAAATTCAAATTACACTGTAATTATTTATTATAATTTTATTTAAGACTAAGCATTAAATTCAATATTATTTTCTAAAACCCACCATCGAAGAAACTTTTTAATAAATATTTTGCATTAAATAACTAATTTATAAGAAAAAACAAATTACTGTAGTTTGTCTCTTGAAAAATTAAAAAATAGTTTTTGTTATTGCGAAGAGTCCAATTTACATCAATGTTATTTTCTGATTAAGTGTGATTTTATCACGTGTCACTACGCAGTAACTTCTCCGGTTTAGTTGGTTGGTTATGATCTGTCAGACAAGCTACTGGGATATGCAGCCCCGGCACACCGCAGTATTATTTTTGTTTTTATTAAATTATGGCAACGCGACAGTTGGGCGATGTCTTTTGGAGGGTTTTTTTAAGGGTAACTGACTTCTATTCAGACATTACAGACGCGGATAAAACCCGAAAAACGCCACGTAGCCAGCCCATCCTGGCGAGGCGCGAACCCACGACCGAACTCCCACAGCCGATTGCAGGGTTTACGTTAAACGACGTTTAACAGCCGAACGGCGTCTAGACTGAACCGCGGTTTAAAATGCGTTGCAAAGACGACGATCGTCTATATCTGAACGCCGTCTAAACGCACTTCGGGAAAACGTTGGCTATTGCGTTTTTCGCTGTTACTCCCCTCTCTCAGGAGTCGTTTAACCAATCAGGTAATTCGTTTATGACGTCAGAAAAATGGCGATTAACAACGTGTTCAAATTATGCCGGAATTCTTCCGAAGAAGAAAAAAGTGTCCTGACGGAAATTATAAAAAATTATCCTGCACTTGAGGAGAAAGGTTACAACAATCGTATTCCGGGGATAAAGAAAAAACTGCATAGGAGATGATACAGAACGAATTTTCTTCGTCGTTTCCTTGTAGGTCTGCTTGCAGCAAATCCTTATTCGTTAAACAAACCCTGATTCTTATTGTAAACGTCTCTATCACTATACAAAAAAATTTTTAAATTTATTTAATGGTAATTTGATAGATACTTGCATACAGTAGAGACGTAAACTTTGATAAGATCACTGGATACCCTCTGGAAGCTTCCGGTGGCATAACATCGCAATGCCGTCAACGACTGTTTGTTCGGTAGTTAATGTCAATCCTCTTCCATCTAGATCAGGGATAGTCAACCTTTTTATACCTATCGCCCACTTTTGTATCTTAGTTGGAAGTAAAATTTTCTAACCGCCCTTCGGTTCCGCAATAAGTTAATTTAGCGCAACTGCAAACTACTCGTAATTTTTGAGTGGCGGTTTAGTAGAAATATGTAATTTATTTTTTTATTTGTATTTTGCATAGTTTATAATACACAAAAATTTTTTGCCAGTGCGCCAAGTATATTTTTTACGTACAACCGAAAAAAGTAGCTAAATTTGGCAACGTCGAACCCACCATGAAACAAGCTCAACGCGAGTGATGGCCACTGTTACAATACGGCAGTGAGTCTTAGATGCGCTGTGATAACAAAAAGTAACTTCGGCATCCCACAAAATCCCTACCGACCACCACGAAATTGACTAAACTGTGGCAAGCGAGAAACGCTGTCTCTGCAATGAGATTTTTCTGAACCGCGGTCTACATGATCTCTAAATCGTTGTCGGCGTCTAAACGTTCTCTCTGCAATCGGCTACCAGTGTTCAAGGAACGAAACAGCTTGGCCACTGGTGGGCGGCACACCGCAGTAACTTTCCGTTTGTCCATGCAAAGCGTCATCTAGCAAACATCACAAGATGGTATGAAAATTATTAGTGATCATTCCTTTCAGTATAACCAATTTTACGTTTATTAGCTTTATTTAAATTTATTTAAGGAATTGAAAGATAAGATCATTTTCCAAACAAGCAATGCCACGCAGTAATAAAATAAACTTATCCAGTATATCTGGCGACTTAATAAGAAAATTTTAAAAATTACTTTCCATTTATACATATGTACATATATTTTTGACAAGACTATGTCTTGTTTATAAAACCGTACTGCCCGATGTTAATACCAGCATAGAGGTATGAAGGAGTACATGTCAAGAGTTGATATTTGGCACAGAGTATTAGGTGCCCAAATCACTTGCGCATAAAAAAATCCAGACTCGTAGGTAGTCAGGGGACCGAGAATCGAGTCAAAATAAAATACAAAATGGCGACCCTCTTCTACAATCAGGCAAAACAGCCACCTCACCCTACCGAAGTTAGGTAGGGGAGAGTACCACCCACAGTCATTCTAAGAAGTGAACTCTGACCTTAGGACTGAGCGTGTAGTTTCTTCTATGTTAAATAAAATTTGTAATCTAATTTTGTAAATTTGGGAGTGCTTCAAACATGACGTTAAAACGGTTTTATGTCGTTAAAAGTGGGTTTCTTAACATATTCTAGTATAGTAAAATCGTAGGACCGATAAAAATTTGACGTTATATTAGGGTTGTCGTTACATTCGATGACGTTATAATCGGGTTAAACTGTATATTGTTTGTGCAAAATAAAAAAAATAATTTCGGACGATACAATAGGCACGATTATTTTTTCAAAAACGGGAACTTTTCGTTACGCATCGGCAAAAATTCAACCCGGGCCGACACGCAACGGAGAGAAATTTTGAAATTAGATAAGTTAATTTCATCCAAGATGCATCGTGGACGATCTCGTGGTCGTGGCCGGCGAAGTTTGAACGATCGCGCCCAAAAGCAGCAATATCAAAGAAGATAGGAGAATGAGAACGAGACCTGCCTTGAGCATCGAAGTGATTCCGCTTAGTAGTGTCTTCGAGACATAGTCTTGTCCCAAATACGGTTTTGCCGTTTTACTTGTTCTATATACGTACTGTATGGCTTAAATTTAAAATACCGAAAACTTGGAAGATAAAATTGAGAATTTTTTAAATAAAATATTTATGATCGATATATTTTAATTTCGAAAGATTTGAAATAAATATCTAAAACAGTATTTGTTTGACATAATTTCTATAAATTTAAGTTAGTACAATAGTCATAATATAAAATATTTGACTTAAATATCTTGAACTACACATTCCATTATTAAAATAATATTAAGATTACAATAATACAGAATATTAAGTTAAACATTTTTTAATGCTAACGACTGACTTCAAATGACATTTCACGATCTTGGCTGGGCTGTAAAAGTGCACAATAAAAGGAACCAGTTTATGTACTTGGTGAAAGGACAGATTATTTGAATATTTCAAAAAGTGCTCTTTAAGTTCTCTGTATGTTACCAAAAAAGAGAGCTTTCGAACTTACTTAGTTGAAGCACTGAGTTTAAAAACTTTCAGGGCCGCAGCTAAGTACTGCTCATCGCCCGACCCAACATATGTGAAACGATCTGTAGAAGTATATTATAAAATTAAATAGAAGGCTATATTTGATAAGTTCTGATATTTCTACATCACTCATTCTATTCACTCATCTATTTGCATTATGAAAATTATCAGTGTCATTTCATATAGGGCCGATTGCAGAGATGTTTAGACTCCGACGACGATTTAGAAATCGTCTAGACCAGGGGTCGGCAACCTTTTGAGTCGGAAGAGCCAAAAATTACAATTTACAAAATTTCAAAGTTTTTAAAGAGCTACAAAATTTTTACATAACTTTGAGAAGATAATTCGCTTCTAACTCTTTTACTCGAAACAACAAACTATACGTCATAGCCAAAGCACTGGTGAAGACGCCAAATTGTCTTGAGTCGAAAGCGAATTAAACCTCATAGAAACATCCGACGACGGCGTCATTCGAAAGCTTCCGACAGACTGACGACAGTGACGACGCGTGTCACGGGGGAGAGGTGCGGTGAAAAGAGAGTACAAGTGGCTGAGAGATAGAATCGGTGCCTAATCCTCGTTAATCGATTCAGAACGATTTTTAAATGTTTTTGTTTTTGATAAAATAAATAATATTTGCTTATGGAACTAAAGAGCCACAGCTTCACATCCAAAGAGCCGCATGTGGCTCGCGAGCCGCAGGTTGCCGACCCCTGGTCTAGACCGCGGCTTAGAAAAATTTCATTGCAGAGACGGCGTTTCTCGTTTGCCATTGTTTAGACAGCGATTAGAAACCAGTTATTTGACTTACTTTCTAGACTCCCTTGATAGCAGCTTTAGACACCGTTTTACTTGAGTAGAAGTCGCTATGTTGATTTTTGGTTGCAATGTTTTTATTATAATGGATATTGTTCATTTAATAGAATATTGTAAATGGGACGAACCAAGAAAATTATTCATCTCGACAATTACGAAGAGAGAGGGTAATACGAGATCGGAATAATCCTTTAGAAATTTATTCCGAAGACGAATTTTGATTTCGGTACATCTGGGCCGTGTTCAGTAACGCAGAACACTTAAGTTAGAATTCTGAGTGGCTTAGTGAGCGGAGCTAAGAATGTTCTGAGCATCATCGAATGATTATTCTTAGTTAGACAACTAAACACCGGAGTTCGATCCGGGAGTTCGCGCCTCACTCCGACGAGCTGGCAGCGGGAGTTTTTTCCGGGTTTTCCTCCTTGCCAATGACGCCTGAATAGGGGCCAGCTTCTCCTCCAAGTCCTCCCGGAGCGTTGGCCGTCTCCTATAAGGCCGGCTTTAGTCGCCTTGTGACCTCTCTCCTGTCTTCCTCGGATTGGTCGTCTTCGATAAGGCCGCCTCTTCGGTCGCTGAGCAATCTTCCCCTCTGTTCTTCCGGAGTGAAAAGTGAAGGCTGCACACTCCTCTATCGAGGTGAGAAATGAGAGTGAGAATAGTTAGACAACTAGGCAAAATGGTGGACGAAGTTAAAATTATAAATTGCAACAATTGTCGCAAATGAACTGGTCCAAAAGAATGAAGTAACCAATACAATTATTCAAATGGAAGCTGTGTCAGATTTTGTTAAAATTAATGAAGCAATTAATTGTAATCAAGGAAATGGACCGTTATCTTCCGTTAAAATGTAT